ACCTTCTTCAATCAGATATACACTGTCTTATTTTCCATGAACTTTTGTATACTATGTTTATTCTTTTCCAACTTTATCCATTATCTGGAACTATACTTTTCTTAAAAAAACTTTTCTAGTCATGGTGCAGAGATCTATATTCAATCCTATTCGCCTGCAGATTGACTTTAGTTTTCATCAAGTTTCTAAGCTTCTATGGATCCAATGCCAACCCTGGCAAACTCGTACCTTGAAATGAGCCCACAACTTGCAAATTCACGGACTTCATTTCCGTTTTCGAATAGAGTGGGGAAATTTCATTTTCTGCCACACTGATTGGGTCAGGACACGGGCCTCGACTTTGCCACTTTTCCTGCCAATTCGTCCATCTTTGCTGTGCTGTGTAACAGGTGCAGACGAATACGGTGGGAAAACTGTGGAAAAGGATGGAAATGGTGATGGAGGCACCAGGTGAAAATGCGTGTATTTTGGCAGCTTGTTGAGTGTTTCGCTTTAGCCGCTTACGATTGTTGCCCCGGCAACTCGGCCCTTGTCTCTCTCCCATTCGTAATCTCTGGTTGATTGCCTTTTAATTAGTTGGAAGCTGATTATGCAAATCTTGCCACAACAACAACAACTGCCATAAACAGCATATATGCCAGTGATATATGGTATCGATTTAGCTAAGATTGTGCTATGCACAGGAGTTTGAAAAGTTTTATGGCCCTGCCAAGTCAGGCGTTAATGTTTAATGCTACAGTTAAACCTTGGTGTTAGTAATCACAAATGTAACAGATATTTAAAGAAAAAAACATTTTCATTTTTTGCATTTTTTCAAATTTATATAATATTTTTTTTTTTTTTAATGACTTGGATTAATTTTGTAATACAATTTCTTAATATTAAAATAAGTAATAACTTAAAGTTGAAATAAGAAAACTTAATTATGTAAAATGCCGTCTAACTGTAGAAAACGTCTATTAATAATCTTATTATTATTAGAAATAAAAAAACCCGTGAAGTAACTATCAACATGCTGAAATATTAACATACGGCAACAATTATCAGATTTGTTTGTGTAATATACAGGTATAGGGTAGGATAATTAATCGTATTAAAGAAAACATTACTTTACAAAATGTCTGAAGCCATTGAATTCAGTGTAGCCCGTATTTGAGCTTCCTCCAACCGCTCACATTGGTCTTGTCTCTTGATTTATGTATATTTAATAATTCAGACTTTATCACACTGAGCAGAAGAAACTTCCTCCAGAGCCAGGCCTGTTTCTGCCACAATTTCAGCCACAAGCCACCCAGAACTCACTTACTCATGTGACTGAACATAAAAATTCTGTATTCCACTTGGCTGCCGACTGGCTGTGAAAGAGGCAGACACAGTGGACGCAGAGAGAGATGGCAAGAGAGTGGGTGGGAGTGCGAAAAGAAATATCACTTACAGACATGAAAATGCAAATTAGAATGAGATATGCAGCAGTCCAGCTGGGAAACTGGGTGGATGACATCTGTGGACCACAGAAACCAAAAGGGAAAGCCGAGGAAAACTTTAACACGAAAGCTAAAGGCCTAAAGCCCAAATCAAGAATGAATTATTGGTCAGAGCCCACTGCAGGCCATCATTTTAGCCAGCGCGCAGATTATTAGCCATAGCTTAAGGGAATAAGGCGGGAAAATGGTTTGGGGCAAGAGCAAAAGTTTCTGAAATGGTTTTGGCCAAGTTTTCTCACAGATTTCCTTTGTGTTCTTGCGATTTTTGGCGCACATTATCTGCACGTGCGTCATGTGATTTATGCAATGAACAGCGAAATATTTGAATAATTACATTATTGCAGGAATCAATGAACAGTGATGACTTCTAAAGAAGAATTGGTTCTGTACATTGTATATACTGCTTGTGGAATATTTTAATTTTAATTTGCCTAGAAAAGCTATTCAAAGTCATATTTAATCGTAATATTTATTATCAAATTGAGTATATTAAAAGAACATAAATAGTAAGAGTTTAAGACTTTAAGTTTCTGCACTCCAAAAACTGCCCTCCATTGGGTAAAACTCAATTTTCAATCTGTCACTTCCCAGGTTAACAAGCTCGGCCTTATACAAGAGAAGTATGAAATACACTTTAATTTCCTGAACTTATTTCTCCTCGAGCATTTTTCAATAACAAATTGTTTTCATTCAGTTGCTGTCAATCAAAAAGTGTCGAAAACATTTCAATAAGCCGAGTTCCTGTCACCTGTTGCTGCAAGGTGAGATTGAGTGGCCATGTCAGCAGTTTAACAGTTCACTGAGCACACACGTAATACCTGAGAGGGACGGAAAGATACAATCAGACAGAGAGAGAGCGATGGGAAAAGGACATCTCAAGTGTCAAATGTGCTGAACTAGAAAAGTTCCAATAAAGATGAAAACCAAAAGGGCAGGGGATTCGAAATTGAATTTGCCTGAGGAGAATTTTCCCTTCTCACATTTTCAGGCAACCACTGTTGTGTGTGTGCAGAGGCCAAAAGCTGTTAAATTTTAACGTTTTTGCCTTCAGGCAATTTGCATGCCTGTGGTTAAAGTGCTTATCATTATAATCAACACCAAAGCGACAAAATTCATGCAAATGGTATGAGTCTAACACAAGTCGAAGATTTTTGTACACTCTTCGGTTACTGTAAATCATTGCAGTGATTTTTTAAAAATATGTAAAAAATTATAAGTTTTTTTCAAGGTGAGAAAATAGTAAAAGGTAAGAAAATAATAAAATTAAGCAATTGCTTTAAAAATTTTGTTTTATTACATCCTGTAATAATCACTTTTATTTAAAGAAGGGTTTTTTTTTATAGAAAATAACACATTGCTCAAGGTATGATAAAAAATACAATCAATTTTTTTATCAGTAAAGTGAGATTTATTTACTCTTCAGGAAATTCTTATATTTTCTCGTTGAGAAAAACAATAATTTTGGAGTCTTAATAACTCCTAAAGAAAATATTTCATCAACAGCTTCAACAAAATAAATAATAATAAATTGCAAAATTTTAAAAAAAATTCGAAAATAATTTACGTAAGTGTTACCGTGATACGCAATTTGTGTGTTTAAAGCACTGCAACCTTTGTAAGCAAACACTGATTCCTAAACATATCAACATGCTGAAAAAACCGGAAAAGTGCTTCACATTATTCGCTCACGTGCCAGAGTGAGGGCATTTCATTGTTATGAGTATTGTTGATGCGACAAGCTCATTTTACGTTTATTAACTTGACAACCAAATGTGCGGTGGTAAAAGGAGAGGACTTTTCAAGTGTATGTAACTCCCTTTGATATCCAAAATATATTTCGTTTATTTTTGGACTCACAGCGGGATTGACTAGAGCGAAGCTCGATTGTTGCATTGGCAACCAGAACCATGACCCCCATGATATGGAACTTACTTACCCAATTCCACCCGCATGTTGCCTTAATTACTATTCACTCTTTTTATATTTACTTCATTTCCTGTGTTTGCTTGCCACTTGCCGATTTGTTTATTTCCCCCTGCTTGATTAGCTTAATCGGACTTGCTACTGATTAGGTTATGATAGGCAAACGACTGCGCTTGTCATCAATTATTGACAGTCGATAAAAGTTTGAGGCTATTTTTAGACATACATATGAAGCACGTGTCCTGTCTATAAATGTAAAAGAAAATTTTGTTATTTATATACATACCTAAAAAATATTTAATTTCCATTCCATGAAAAAAGATAAATTGGCTTACTGAATAAATGAAAAATTTTTGCTTTTATAAAATAGGAAAAACAAAGTTTTCTAAACACAAGTTTTACCCCATAATTCAAGGGGTTTGACTGCATTTCCGCCCTTAAAACTGTCAGGCAAACATATATAGCATGTGTGGATATATGAACCCATATTCGGTCGCCCCCAACTGACATTACATTTATCAGGATTTTTTGACTGTCTGCGCAAACCCTTTGGTCCTGTGTCACGCCTCCTTTGAAATCGTATTAAACTTTCACGGCATTTTCTATTTGTTTTCATTTTCCCCTTTTCAGTTTTTTTCCTTTTCATTTTGTTTTGTTTGTTGCGGCTTTTGGCAAATTCCACCGCTTCAACGCGCGGGGAAATCCCAAAGAAAAACAACGAGAACAGGAAAACAATAAAAATTGAAAAGACTTTTCTCGCCCTGAAACTCATTTGCATAGAATTTTGCTTGGCTAAACCAAAATACAATTTCCCCCACGCCGAATCTTTGAATGATTTGCTCTTTAAAGCCTACTTTACTTTTCCTTATATTCATTCCCTTATTTTATGTATTTTTGATGGGGCACATAAAACTATTTATGAAATGCCGAATAAGAACTTTTTTTATACCATATGCGCCATATATGCGATTTTTTGGATTGCACTTTGGTCTGACCATCTCTTATGTTTTATGGCCAGGACTTTGTTTTTATGGGATTTCCGCTGCCCCAACTTTCTTCTACATGCACAAGTAGAATCAGCCGCCTCGTAAACGTTAAAGTTACCAAAAAAAAAGAAGACCTTAATGGTGTGGGATGGAATGCTTTCAGCGTCATATTAAATAAATCAATAGGGGAGCTGATAAATCACAGTTCCGCTCATTGATTAGCTAACGATGCGCCTATAATTTCTCGGTATGTGGGAAAAAATGTGTTATACGGAAAATTGAATTAGCTTGGTTTTTAGGTTTTGAAGGGAGAAACGCGAAAGAAACAAATTTACGATTCTGACTAAAATTAATTAAAAGCGTTTTGAATTTACCTAAAATACACAGTTCACAATCTTTTGATCTTAATGAATTTTTACAAGTTAATATTAATATTAATATTTATTAATATATTTATATTTATAAAACTCCTTGGTTTTTTATTTGAACATTTTGTTGCAAAATCTTATTTTTTTAAGACTAAACTGATGAATAGTCTGTAAGAGATTCTTTAGGGTCTATATTAATTTTTCATGCTAAATAAATCAAGTTAATTTTAGCAGCTTACCAAACGCTGTTGGCTCCAAATTCTCTCACACTTTTGTCGGCTTTCTGAGTTTCTTAAATATTTAATGTGGCACGTTTCTTAAACTTCGCTTTGTGTCGCCTCGCGGGTCGCGTCTTTGGACACATTCACATGTACATATTGTATATGTTCTGATGATATTATTCTTTTTATTTACGACATTTAATTTTATATTTATGTACTTTGATTTTCATTACACGATGCGGATTTGCGGGCCGCTTAACCTGCTTAAAAACAAGAGAAATGGGAATGTGGGGATGAACAAGGAATTCGTATTAAGGGCTCGCGTTGCCCATATAATTCGGTTTTATTTGATTTGATTTCATTTTTTGCCGCGTGTTTTTATTTCCGTTTGGTTTTAGCGGGATTTGAACGTCTGCGGGCAGGAAATAATCTGATGTGAGGGCGTGTCGACGAAATTATTGCCAGGATAAATGAATCTCGGCTCGTCATATAAAGTGATTCAGTTTTCGTTGCTTGAATACGGAAATTTCTTGAAAGCTTTTCAATTAAATTGCCTGAAAAATTCATGCGCTTAGCATAGCTTGAGGGACTCTCGCCATGCCTTTTTTCACTTTGCTCCCACACTTTGCAGCAGGTCCTTGCTCGAGGCCTCAGCAATGCATAACAAATTTAAACAGCAAATTAGCCCTTGCTTTTCTTGATTGGAGGTATTAATACCCTAACTTTTACTTTCATTAAGTTAAATAAAAATGTTCATATCTTAAAAAATCTTTTATCATTATACCCTTGCAGAGGGTATTATAATTTTGGTCAAAAGTGTGCAACGCAGTGAAGGAGACATCTCCGACCCTATAAAGTATATATATTCTTGATCAGGATCACCTCCTGAGTTGATATAGCCATGTCCGTCTGTCCGTCTGTCCGTCTGTCCGTCTGTCCGTCTGTCCGTCTGTCCGTCTGTCCGTCTGTCTGTCCGTCTGTCTGTTTCTACGCGAACTAGTCTCTCAGTTTTAAAGATATCGAATTGAAACTTTGCACACACCCTTCTTTCCTTTGCACGCAGTATATAAGTCGGAACGGCCGGGATCGGCCGACTATATCCTATAGCTGCCATATAACTGATTGATCGGAAATGCCATAACTCTGCTGTTTGTTAAGTTAGGAAGTTGGGACTTTCTATGGGTTTTATATTTGGCCAATCAATCCGACGTACCAAATTTCATAAGGATCGGCCGACTATATCTTATAGCTGCCATATAACTGATTGATCGGAAATGCCATAACTTTGGTGTTTGTAAAGTTAGGAAGTTGGGATTTTCTATGGGTTTTATATTTGGCCAATTAATCCGACCTACCAAATTTCATAAGGATCGGCCGACTATATCTTATAGCTGCCATATAACTGATTGATCGGAAATGCCATAACTTTGGTGTTTGTTAAGTTAGGAAGTTGGGATTTTCTATGGGTTTTATTTTTGCCTAATCAATCCGACATATCAAATTTCATAAGGATCGGCCGACTATATTCTATAGCTGCCATATAACTGAACGATTGGAAATGATATAACTTTGGTGCTTTTAAAGTTAGGAAGTTGGGATTTTTTATGAGTATTAAGAATGCATTATGAATGATTTTGGAGAATATAATTTGCAGAATATTCTGCAAGGGTATTTCAACTTCGGCTCCGCCCGAAGTTAGCTTTCCTTTCTTGTTTTATGATAATCTTTTACCAATTGTTTGATCCTAGTTTTTTTTTTGTTTTATATGACAACGCAGGCATAATATATCCTGATATTTCTTTTGTAGAGTTTGGTTATTAAGAAAAATACCTATGTAAAAGTAAATTTTGTCAATTAGGAGAAAGTGAAATTAAAAACACATTTTCTATCAAAAATATATTATTCTATTATTCAACTCTTGATCTCCTGCAACGCAAACTTTTAGTCAAGTTGAAGCAACCCATTGTAAGTGAATACTGAGGACCACGCTTCTACTGCTGAGTTATTTCATTAAAATTTTGGTTCGTTCTGTAAGAACTTGTGAGCCTTTTCCGCTACTGTCTTCGCTCCTAGCGTTGTTCACTTGAATTAATTACGCAATTTAACTGGTTTTCCGTGCAAATCGCATTATAAAGTGGTTTTTGATGTTGCCCCTTAGAGGATTTTGTTGCGGCAGGTGCAACTGGAAAAAAGTTATGCCAATGTTCGAGTTGGTCTACGCGCCGTATACTTAATACCACAGCAAAGCGTTTATGGAACACATTTATTAAAATTGTGTAAAGCGCGTAGGGGAATAATTAACATAATTTATTATTGCCAAGCTTTTGGAAAATTAATTTAAGTCTTATTAAATATTTACATTGCTGGCGTTTCTGGCTTTAATTAAAGGTTTTTTCCTTAAAGTTTTTCCTTTTTACTGTTTACAAAGAAAGTAATTATACAAATTGTACTTTTTTGTCACGAGGTTATTAGTTTAGTTTAAGTTAATTCAAAATTAAATTAATTTAGTTTTACCAATTTAAACTCTAAAGAAGTAAATGTCCTATCAAATATGATTTATTATTTTTAAAATTCAATATGTTGGAGGTCTTTTTACATTTAATAGAAATGATTCGTTTTATTAATTAAACGTCGACTTTTTAATAATTAAAAGTTCATTTTACTTTAAAATTCATTAATATTTTTAGAGTAAAATATGTATTGCTTTGATTTTATGTTGTTGATAAAATAAAGTGGATACTTTTTTTTTAAATTATTTTTCTTTTAAATTATTATTTTTGACTATTATTTTTTAAAAGATTTTTTAGTTGTTCGCTCTTTAATATTTTAAAGAAAATACATTATTAATAAAATCCATTGTAATTATTGTTTTCGTTTATTTTATTATTTATGTAATTACTTTATTTTGCCTTCTATATTTAAAACCGTTTTAAGAAACTTCAAATTATTTTTGAACTGATCACTATTTTGAAGCTCAGAAGAGATGCGCGAGGACAACCGACTGCCGCCAAAGGCGAATAGTAAATGTCAGGTCTGTTTCTTGTCCTGGCGATAGTCGGGACATAGTTGGTGCGACTAGTTGCCACTCGCTGGTGAGTTATTAAAAAGTCAACAACTGACAACGACAACGACAAGGGAACGCACTTTGAATATTTTCCGAGGACACGAAGGATGTGAGTTCCGAGTACAAGGCACGCAGCTCGGAGTTCGGAGCCCAACGAAACCGCACGCAACGTGCAACAGCCGCCAACTGATGGGCTTCATCTGCCATTGCCAGGCAGTCACCCACACAGATAGCCCAAAGCACAAACACCCACACACACACATAGCCACAGTCGCACACTCACACAGATACTCGGCGTTTGTTGATAACGGTTTTCGAATTTCGAATTCGCGTCGTCAGCTGCTGCCGCGTATGTTTTTGCTGCTCCTGCTGCTGCTGTGGCTCCTTTTTGTATACAAACAGTGGCTAAGCATCCTCCGGCGCGCACCACCCACAGCAGCCACCCAAACACGAACCCACGCACCACCCACAGCGGCAACCACGTTCACCATGTTGCATGTTCGGCGTATGCTAACGCATGCGCCGCCCTGTTGGCAACACTTTTTACACGGTATAAGCCATGTAAAGGCGTATTTAGTAATTCGTTTCAAAATATACATTTTTATATATTTTAACACAAAAGTATTTGTATATTAATATTTACAATTATTACAATTTAATATATTTACAATTATTATTATATAATGAAAACAAAAGCTTTCTTTACACAGACTTACATTAAAATCAAGCAATTATACAAATTTGTTTTATTTTATTTATTATTAGTTAGTTATAAATTGCAATTTCAACTAACTTAAAGCATGGTAAACATTTTGAATCATTTGATATTATCATGTTTGCAACTGGTTCAACGTGTCGTATGAGTGTTATGATTTTTAAAAATATTTGTATAATTTTTGAAAAAAGTATTTACCTATGATACGCAATTAAATTTAATTTAATACTAAAATATGTAATTGATTTTCCCTTAATTTGGCCTAATTTATATTTTCTTCTTGGTAATTAAAATTTGGGTTTTATATTACAAAATTCCATATGTATTTTAACATATACAAATGCAAAACGGTTAATAATGGAAATATTTTCGTCGAGATCATTAGCAATCACTTATTTCCAGCTGTCTTAGCTGCTTGTGCCGCATAAACGCAATCAACGCAACCTCGACGCTGTGTGGAAGCTCCTTTCGTTGTTATCTTTATTGTCCTGCAATATTTCGACAGCGGTTGTTTTGGAGGGAAATGGTTGGCTTTGGTGGGGGTGTCATGACATAAATTAGTCACATTTGACTTGGACGTCCAACTTAACCTTAAGTCGGTTAAGTTGAATTCCCACCCACATCCTTATTCGTGAGCTGGCTGACTGGTATTCACGTGCCCAGCGATGGTCGGTAATGAATTATGGCCAAGTTTTTAATTAAGCTCTTTATGGCGTGGTCAAGGCGCCTGGCCCTATTTTTGTATTCCTGTTTTACTCTTCTACTCAATGAAACTGCGTTTTTTGGATATTAGTTAAAGATAAGTCTGAATTATAATTTAATTATGTTTTTTGAGACTTGGTCTAAAATCTTTTGTACTATACTACTATACTATACAAAAATAAAATTTAATTTACATATTGCTGCATTACTTTAAAATTAAATAACATCAAGCCGGCAAAACATAAAATAGGAAACAGAAACAGGCCAATATATGTTAAAAAGTAAATAAACATAAGAGTTATTACATTTCGCAAAATGAAACCATTTATATAGATTTAAATTTTTGCCGAAAATGCAAGAAATTTAATTGAATCATAAATGTTGGCAACGGACCAAAACATTTGTCCTTGACACAACAATTTTCCAAAATATTTTTGTTATTTCACTGCCCACAGATAAACCAGTAAATGTGCGGCAGTGTGGCTATTATAAACTGCAACTGTAAATGTGAATCCTTGTGACAATTGTCGCTGCAGGAAATTGCAAAACTAACTAAAAACGAAAGGAAGAGGGTGAAAATGAGAGGGTGAAAGTGAGAGGATAGAACAAGTGAGCAAAATGCAAGCCAAAATGATTTACAGTTAGCTAGCTCCAGCAAGGATATGTCATAAACATAAAAGCTGAAATTCTTGATGTTGTTCTTGTGCCATTGTGTCTGTTATCAATGGATGTTTATCAAGGACACAAAGAGCAAATCGCTTCAAAGACATTCAAAGCAGACGGAACAGTAAACAAGAGTGTGAGGGAGATGAATAATAATAATATTAATGTCCTTTGACCTTGTGAGCCACAGAGAAAGTCATTTGATGTTGGCGCCCCACCTGGTAGCAACATTAAAGATTTATTTTCGTTCAATTTAAAATATTTTCGAGATGAACAAGGTTCTTTAAAGGTAAAAATTCTTAAAGCTAATATGATATTGATATTTGCGGTCACTCAATTGACCCAGTTATCCTCGACCCATCCCTCTTTCTATTGGTAAATGATTGCCTGTTCTTCACACTTTTCAATTAATAAACATAAAAACGAAAAGGACGAACTGAAACTGAAGGCGACAGAGAAATTGCGTGTCCATCTTGTAGTTTTAATTGAGGTTAAGTGAGCGGACATTAAATTGTTTATAGAGCAAGGTTACGACGAACTGTTCAAATTTCTGTGAAATATTGCTTTTTATGCGAAAACTGAATGAAATTGAAGGTGAACTCTGACGGTGGACTATTATGGTCTTAATAGACATCACGAACGGGATCAAGGTGAGATTGGTATTCAATCCAAATCAAAAAGGGAAGTTATCCTTTTAAAAAAAGTAATTCATAAAAAAATAATATGTTTTTTGCTTATTAAATATTTTTATTTTTTTGAATATATTGTTTTGAAATTTAAAGTGTGAAACAAATTTTTTAATAATTTACAAGCCAAAGAAAATTTAAAAATAACCAATGATTAAAAAAATGAAAACCCTTTTAGACATAACATATCCTTGCATAAAATTATACAAAATAATTAAAATGTAATGTAATAGAATTTCAAATCTTGTTTAGAAAATTTGAATGACCAATTCTTACATTTTGAAATTCCCGCTCTGATTCCCATTATGGTATTTTCGTTTCAGCTGGCAATGACCCTTACGTTATTTGCTTACGTTATTTTATAAGCGATAAATAACTGGCGCCTGTTTTAAATTATTTTTTTTTAATTTTAAGTAAACATCAAGACATTCAGTTGAGTAGATAATGTTCTAATGTTTACTATTTTGAATATGGTTTTAAAAAAATAATACAAATTATTTCAACTTTATGTTAATTTGTTACCATTTTTAAAATCATAATCATCTATTAAAAAAAATTAAGATATGTTTCAAAATTCGAAATAGATTTTAATTTTTTATATATATAATTTTACGTTATATTTTTAAGTTACTTTTATATGCAAGTAATGTTGAAATTAAGGCAGGTATATTAGGCCGCTCCTCGCACGGTCACGCTGTCTACCTGGGTGCTCTCTCTTTTCGCTCTCTCCGCTTTCCTCTCTGCGCAAACTCCCACTCTGCAGCGCAACAACAAGAACTCTCCCGGGTGCCCATGGCTTTTCTTTTTGTTTTCGAATTCTTTTTCAGTTATTCGTCTTGTTTCGTGTGGCCAACAACAGCGACTGCTGTGGCTCTAAGGTGATTTTATTTCCGAGATCGGGGGACAATATCATTTACAGTTGTGCGCGTGCCAATTTCAAAATTACTCCCACCTACACACACCCGCAAATACGATTGCAAACAAACATCGTTATCAGCGGTTTTTTGCATTGCACTTTGCATTTTTCAATTGGCGCCAAGCGGACGCCTTGGAAACATACAATTCACACTACCTGCTGGAAAAGTGATAAACGCGAAACATAAACAAAAAGCGGCGATAAGCGTTATTAGTCTTATCAATGCGCCGGCCGCATGAAACTACAAAAAATGATTACAACAAAGTTCGAATTCCTGGCGCTACTCTCTCTCTCTTTCGCTCACCTCAGAGTGCAGCAAAAACAAAATTATCAAGTTTAAAACTTGTTGAGCGGGTTGAAAAAATCAACAAAAAAATATAAACATCTATATTAAAAAACAATAACAAAAAGGGGCCTAAGAAGAAAAAAACTATACCAACAATGGTGAACAATTTTTAATGCTCTCTCTTTCTCATCAGCACTGCCACTGACCTTTATTTGACTTTTAGCTGCCGCTCTGGCAATGAAAAAAAATATCTCTGCCTGCCACACACAAACACACATTCACTTGGGGTCTCTCAGCTGCTTAGTGTTATTGTTGTTGTTCTTGGAGTTGTGTTGCAGCAGCGCGTGTATGTGGGTGCGAGTAAGATAGCACGAGAGCCTTTTCACGTCTTTCTAATTCAATTGAATAAAAATTATCAAGTGTAAGAAGTCGTCGTTTGTTCAATTGATAGAATTCGTGCCAAGAGGTTTTCCTCACTTTTACTTTTTCTCACATTCTTTCGTTAATTGTTTTCACACAAAAATTCTGAGTGTAAAGTGCGAATGAGAGAAGTGCAATTGAGTGGAAGTTATACAGATCTCTTTTCCTCTTCCGGATAACACGCCCTCTAGCGGCTTCAAGTGGATAAAATCCTGACAATGTGATAAGATACAAAGATACATTTATAAAACCAATATCTGCCATAAAAATTGTTCGAGAAATAGATAACTGTGTTACAATACTTGACCTTTGAAAGTTTTCAGAATTGAATACAAAGGTGATTCTAATGAACAGCAATATTCGGATTCCAATTTATTATTCGGATTATTATTTATTTATATACTGCCATCTCAGTTTATTTAAAGTTCACAATACAATTACTTTCAATTATAGAGAGCAGGTGTTAATGAAAAAGTTCAAGTTAGAGTAATTTAGCAGTTATTTATTAATCAATCCAGATTAGATAGTTAGTGGCTGTGTTAACTGTTATTATTATCTTGAGAAATTTACTTATTTTAGGGATCCCTAAAATCGCTGTTTGTCAAGGTCATACTGGACAATATCCAATTAAAAATTCAACACCCACCCCAACACATGTGTTTTGAATTAAACTGAAAACGTGTCAGTTGTAAATTAAATATTTGGGTTTAATTTAGTGAACTTACACATTTTTTAAACAATGAAATAAATTATTTAAAGGCTAGGTAATTAAATATACCA